ACACGAACCATAAATTGTTCCCTAGATGTGACAGTCAACAGGATGCAATGTTCATGAGCCCGAGGCTGCGGAGAATTCGCACCCGCAAATGTCAGTGTCTAGTTTTTTCAAAAAAATTTCCATCAAGTTCCCCCGCTAGCGGTTTTCCTGTGAAGTTTGATCTTTAACACATTGACGACCGCGCGCGTTTTGGCTTTTTTGGCCGTGTGGGACCGGGCCGATTTTGCGAGTGCGACCGCCGCACCTCGGATCCGTGAATTTTTATTGATAACTTTTTAAAGCACCAGTGGTACAAAAACATCTCAGTAACAGTCAATGCGTAGAAGGTAATAGAGTATATAGTGACGAAGTTCCGATTAAAGAACATGTAATGGTAATGAAAAAGGAAATTTAGTCATTTTATCTGTAGTGGATGCCAAAAGCTCTTTTGATGTGGTTATACCAAGTGAAACATGTATTTTTCTGTCTCTTTAGATTTGCATTTACTTTCACTACCCTTTTTTATTGACGTGTTCATGAGAATAGCATGAAAACTATTAATGAACCAAGCCGCCGGTTTCGGTGAGCTTGGAAAACTTCTTCTAAACTGGAGCATATTTGAACAAACAATGACCTATGTCGTTCACAATAATGTTATGTTCTAATCCATAGAAGAGAGACAAACAATTCGGGAAAAAGCTGCGCATGCCCTAGAAAAAGGGATGATAAGGGTGAGACGCGGTAACGCGTCTCAATGTCCAACGAGGTGCGCAAAGTGAGACGCGTTACCGCGTCTCAATGTCGTCAATGTGTTAAATGAAGAAAAAATTTAGTCGAGCTCTATTTCCGTTTTATTTATTGGAGTTCGCTATTGGTCACTCTGAATCTGATCCAAAAGCTAGCAAGACCTACCAGAAGGGTTTTCGTAACACTGTCGAATACCCATCGAGCAGTTCTAGCCGGAGAAAATCTGCTACTTCTCTTCAATTCTGTACATCTATTACCTTTTTCACCTCCTCCCATTCTAGATGTGACTACCGTGTGTCTCCCCTGTCTTCTATCCGCAACTACCAGCATCCTCCTAATGATCACTGTGCGACCGCTAAAAGTGCACCGTGAAAGAATCTTCCTATGAACTTAGGCGTGGAAAACACAAAAACCAGACAATGCAGTGGATCGTGGTTCCACAAACTGGGTAAAATGTGTGAATTGAAGAAAATGGCCGAGTTTCTGATTCAATCGGCGAAACTTTCTCGCACCTGGAAAGTGCGCTTTGCTAAGGAATCCGATCAAAATGGCGAGATCTGGTGTACATCGGATAAACTGCGAAAGTTTTATGGGGGCTTTGATTTTCGACGCACCGATAAAGCTTATGCTAGTGTAGTTTATTTTTCAACGCTTGACCTATAGCTCAAGCGTGCGGAGAAGGTAAACAGAGTCTTGACCTCATTATAATTCTTGTGAATAACTCTCGCTGCTGCACCTCCCTTTATCTTTCCTATGGATGGAGCATTGTGGCCCTCCGCTAAAATGGCGCTGACCTATTTTGCATCGGTTTCGGCTTACGATACCCCAAATCACTACCTTTCACCTATTTGAGGGTTGAAAAGATTTTGGGATAACTATCACTTCATTCAGAGAAACGGAAATATTTACATGTACACATTTCGGACGACGTCCTCTTAAAGTAAACAAGTGCGCTAACTCATCCCAATACTTCTGCAATTTCGCAGATTTGTGACTTACATGGGCGTAATTCCAGAGGTGGTTAACGGATTAGAATCGTTCCCTTTACGTGGCATTTGTCGTAAACCTATAGATTTCTTACCTTGTCCATTATCGGTTACTAAAGCAGTCCCATTCCTGTTTGCTTTTGTTTTGCACTTTTTGCTTTCATTTGAGTGAAATGGAGGGGAAAGCACATGGATTAAAACTGGCGGCGCACGGTGAGACTAGTTCAGTCCGGTTTGATTTCTATATTTTCGGCTTTTGTATGGGGGGAACTGGAATTCTTTGAGTAATGTGGTGGTGCTGTATGGTGAGATGGCGAGCGACGGTGGGAGCCCAGACGACTGTCCGCGCCGTCACCGCTCATCCATCCGGCCTTTCAGTCGATTCCCTCGCTGTGGACACGTTTTTATTTCGCGCTACCTCTTCTTTGGCCTTTTCAATAGATTTGCGAACGACCAGGCACATAGCGGTCCATACTAGTAGTCAAGTTGGCTTTATTGTACAACAGTACCATTCGGCGTATCTCCCGATACGTTTTCTGTTCTGGTTTTGTGAATAATTAGTTTCAAAATTCTGAGTTGTCTGCCGGTTTGTGCTCAAAAATCGAACTGGCGAATTTGGAAGATTCATTTGGAATTTAAATATAACGTGATCACAGACGGCATTTAGACGTTCAAATTTACAACGCTGTTGTATGTCGCAACGCCAGTATTTTGTTGGCTACATACATATGAATACGCAATTCATGAGAATTACTTATAATTTTTAAATCCCTTTACTGCTGAAGCTTTCATGAGCTTTTCCCCAAATTTAATTATCCGTTGGGAAGGAGACCGTGAAAGATTCGGCAGTACCGTCCAGGTCATCTATTCCCAACGTAGCAATCTTATATGATTTTCGATTCTCTAAAGGTGGAGTTCTGGACTTTTCGGACTTCATTAAGTCAGTAATACTCCTACCCCTGCTCTCTCTACTCGGTCGACGTGCTCCTAGAAGATTGAAATTATGCTGGATGTAGAATGGAAATTCCATAGGAAATATTGAAGAGGGTCGCAACGTGAACCTCTTCTTGGGAGGGATAGTGATGATCCTGCAATTTTTCCAACGCAGAGGTCGAAGCTACAGTAGCGGTCAAAAGTGTTCGCCGAAACGATTTTCAGTGCATTATTTTTTCTCGCTTGAGCAACGCCCTCCAAAGATTGATATACTATGTTTTCTAGTGTTTTTATATCCTCAAGTCTTGAAGAATCAGGATATTCAAAAGAAAAAATTTTCGAGGCCACCATTGATTTTTTTCTGGCAAAAAAAAGAGAAGCACGAAAAACCGTTTCGGCGAACACTTTTGACCGCTACTGTATCTTTCCAATTTATCAGATGGCTGTATCGTTTCTTACGTATTGATTTCTCTTGTGAGATTCTCACCTGTAGGTCAGAAAATGGAAGGATTAATGAGCTTCTGGGACCAGCATAATTTGTATGTTGTCCTGCCAAATGTACTGCGATTGTTAAGCTACGATTCGGTTTCCGCTTCAAAGCTTTCTCCAAAGGTTCGATACGAGTTCTGATGAAGCTTGTCACCAAGACTTACAGATTGGTATGGGTAAGCAGTCATGCTGACCCTACAATACCTATGTTATCCATGTCGCCTCCATGCGCTGCATTCTAAAACGAAGCCGCCAAGGTCTCAGAATCGTTTGGCAAGGGCTGATAATGTTTATAGGTTCGGTGCGCTGTTAACTGTATGCTAAGTAGATTGTGTTAAGTAAACATGTCATGAATAATAAAAACACTGAAATAGAAAAATGGTCGATAACTACTCGTTCCATACTCATGTGCCTGTGATTGGGTCATATCAACAAAGAAATCGGTACCTATATTCATCTGTTTGCTTGTATGTGTGCCTGCTGCAGTTTCGGTATTCTGAAGAATAAGCTAGAGAGGCCGGATCAAGATTGAGACGAGTAGGACATGGGATAGCTTGTAGGAGCACACGCGAGCTAAGCAGAGCCTTACTCGCAGTGCTCGGCGTATGCGCCGAAATGGACGGTAACAGCAAATATTTAGAAATATAAATTACAATGGGAAATCTGATTATACGTATCAATAATTGCCAGATCGAGTAGGCTGAAACCACTTGCAGTAGACTGTGTATTCTGGAAATGCCGGTGTTGATCAAAAAAATCACAAGGTTGATTATTTAAAAATGCTCGAATAGCAATGTCTTTTGTGTTCCCAGCACATTTGGAGTGAGCGAAGGCCCGCCCACAGAAGGAGAGAATGTCCCTAGGAGGGTGGTATTTTTTACAAATCCTCATAGTTTGCCGCGTAACATTACAATTTGGTTACGAGGCTGCCCGAAGACCAAAAAAAAAGTAGATTCAGAACAAGTGGAGGTTGCCATTAGATGAGCCCGGTAGAATTCAAAGTCTCCATAATGTTCTCAGAAAGTGTCAGAAATCGGGAAAAGCCCATAGTGACAATGCGAAAGGGAAAATACTGGACTCGTCATTGGCTGGACTGACCAAGTCAAAAGCAATGTTCAACAGTAGGAGCGGGTAGCTCGAATAGTTTCTCATCCCTAAAATGCAGACCGGCTCTGTTGCACTTTGGGTAAGAGAGGATCGAGTTAGAGAAGGCAGTGACAATTTATTTATTCCAAGGGTTGAATATGTCAACCTCTCAACGCAAAATACTCAACGCTCCCAACGCATCTCATTAAGAAAGGAAGCAGTTGAAGCAAGAAGAAGATGGACGAATTGGAAAGGTGTCGTCTTGCCGCACCTTAAATTAGAGGAGTCAACTGTAGAGGTAACTAGACTCACTCGACTCCCAGGCATAGCTACTAGGGCTCCCACACACCCAGGGGTTAGCATGACCCCCCCCACACACACACTTGGAATCTCACTTGGCTCCTAGTACTTGCTGGATCCAGCTAATATGCGAGTCAGTGCTTTTATCCTCCAAGGCGAGTCTGACACCAATTAAAACCACCCGAAGGGTCGGAAGTTTTTTCGACCCGAAGCCCGATGTGACCACCGAGAGAGTGCGCATGGTTACTGGCTTTAGCTGCTACCATCTCCGCCTACAAAAGGTACTCTGATCTTACATACAATCCGTCTCCTTCAACTTATCTACGAGAAGAATTCAGCGGTCGAGAAAAATTTTTATGTGAAGCCCTTTGTATGTATTCTAATGTGTTCATCAAGGCTTCAGTAAATTCGGTTTTTCTCCTCCCCACACACATCGCATGGATCTTCCTGTAAGTGTTATCAGTGTTCCATGTTGTTCAGCATGGCACGGTCGTCGTCGCATACTAATTGGCACTCGTTTGTCAGCCACAATTCGCGCGCTCGCGCCTCCGTGCGTTTCAATCATTCGTGAACCTCTGCCAGCGTCAGCCGACCGCGATCGAGTGCTTGTAATTTGACTCTTCGCTGGCATCATTTATCACCTCGACCCTCATTATGAATGCGGAATCATAATACGGCTGACCTGCTCTACCGTAGCCGCTGTCATCATTTGCACTTTGGCGGACGATGTTCTGGTCTATTGTTCCCTTGTCGTGGGATGAAATCAGTTCACGCGTTTCAGCTGCAAGTTCAGCGCGTTTCTCAGCGTCGTCTTTCGCTTGCTGAAGTTGAGTTGGGTATTTCTTGTAGTTCTTAAGGCTGCTAGATGAGCATTTCCCTTTACGTTGTTAACGGTTTTTTGAGGTAAGGATTTCATAAGGGAATTCCATAAGATAGAATCTGGCTGATACTTGTGGAACATATTGAGTTTTCATACGATTGTTGGTATTTTTAAGCTTGCCTCTTTTAATCCTTTGACTTCTGATGGTATAAATCTGTACGACATAATGTGTAGAACACAGCTTCACCGTTACGGTTTTGCGTTTTGCGCTCAATCGGGTTACAATGTTTCTTTGCTTATTTGTAAACAACAGCCAGATAAATAATGAAATAAAAAAAACATTGTGCGTGCCGCCAGAAGTGTTAGAAAAGTGAAGTATCCTGTTCCCTCTATTGAGCGCAGTTTCGGTTAAACTATTTTTTTCAGTTTCAAATTGGGGGTCATTTAATAACATTCAATTTCTGAGATAAGATTAGACTCAATAGGTTTAATTATGGCACTCAACACTACCACACTTCCTGAACGTGCTAATATTCTCTAGAATAGCGATGGTATTCTTAGATAGAAAAATGATATCTGCCGAGGTCCTTATTTTTTTGTGGTTATCGAAGAGCTGAATACAGCTCAAGTCTTCAGAATTGTACTGACTTCACTATTCGCCTTATCCTCTGAAGCTTGAACGTAGCTTGATGTTTTTCACCGCCTTGCGAAAAACTATTAGTTAGGTGACCATTAAAGGGGGCATAATCGTTGCAACACAATATCGGAATCCTTTTCTCTTCTTTTCCCTTCTCTAGACTGTACGTAATGCGATCACCCTACATAATCGTTGTGCTGGCAATAATGAGGGTGTTTCTGATCAGTGAGACCGTCGCCGAGTCATTATAATCCTCCGCGCAACATATTAATATTTAGTAGCTCATTTCGTGGTGGCGTTCCACCTGGTGCATGGGCAGTATGGGAAATAGAATATGCTCTACAGATCTCCAGTTCATGCCACTATACCCTGAATTGAAATGCTCAAGTAAACTACTTAGGTATTTATTCTGCTTTCACGCTAGCTAGGTACGTTCTAGACAATGAAAGTAAAGAGAGTAAATTCGTTTATGCGATATACAGAAATTGGAACCAAAGAAGTCAAGATTGCAGCTCCTATTATCATTTCCTATTTTTCTGTACGTCCTATACCTTCACCAGTTTTGTCCAGCGATAGCTGAGGGAATCTTCTTCCTCTGTGCATGTTTTACGCCATCCACTGTGCTCACTTCCATTTGCGAGGTCAACACTTCGTTAAAGGCAAAGTTCGGGCTCAGACCCACTTAATGAGCCTTTACGTGGCTAGAAGCGCTAGGTACGCAAGTGCAGAGGTCGCGTCACTTCCCTACTTCGAAAAGCGTTACTTAGACGCTAGGCGCTAAGGACTTTAACAGACTCCACCAAACTAACATGGTCCGCCCACCGCTCGATATCTTGTCTGCGTCGCAATGTTGATCTGCTATGCTCTCTCTTCTCGGACTTCTCTACCGCTCTCCGCGCTCACATTATCTCTCATCTCCCTGCCTGTCTTTTGAACTTCTCCACAGCATAGAGCAAAATGCTCGTATTTCCTGTGTATTTCAGGATTTTCTTTCCTTTTTTCTCCACTGGCGGTCCACCTCCCACCCCTACTTTCACATTTGAGTGGAATCACTCCATCAATTTC